AGCTCAGGTTTGGACCTGAGCTCCTCCAAACCTAGAAGGGAGCTCCTTCCGCTGCTGCCCAATCAGCTGTAACCGGAGACCCTATAGCTGCATGTAAACAAAGGGACGGGATGCAGTGATGTCATTGACCTTATATGGTTATATTAGGGGAGTGATATTTAGCCAATGTGGCCATAAAAGGTTAATTACATCAGTACGAGCATCCCGCCCCTTTGTTTATGGTCAGCGGCGGGGCAGGGAATTGCCCATCTCTCTGCTGATTGCACAGGAGGTCCATGTAGCTTCCATGTTCTAAAGGAGCTCAGGTTCTCTCTCCTTGTACAGGGTGGGCATGTCACCCTGTACAAGGAGAGAGAGCAGCAGTGAGCGGTCTTTATTACAGGAAGGGGCGGAGACCAGAAAAAACAGGGGCAGTGAACGGGCTGACAAAAGCCGAGGCGCCAGGACGTAATTTCTAGTCGCATCGGCGAGCTGGCGCCTGGGATTTGTCAAGCCCTGCCATAAGGCATTGCAAGACTCCGACAGCCGCAGGCATGACTCCCAGCGGTGGATGCATGCTGGTATTTGTGGTTTTACCACAGCTGGAGGGACGAAGTTTGGGTGCGTCTGCTATGGAGAGTTGTTTCCGAGTCTGCTTTAGCTGCTGACTTCACATCCAAGATGGCGGCACCCAGCAGCAGTCTCAGGGTTTTTGGATGTCTACACAGGGGAGGCTTTTACAGGTAACTATGAATGACATTGCAATTGTTGACTTGAACTAATTCAAGTTTCTTAGGGATTGTTTTTTTTATATATACTTTTAGGTTTTGCTGAAAAAAAGTAATAAAAATTAAACTTCCCACAAAGGTTCACTTCATGTGTCTGGTTACACGGTACAAATCATTCTTCTGTGTCCTCACATACAAGAACAAAAGAGGAATGCCTAGACCAGTGGTGGCGAACCTTGGCACTCCAGCAGTGCCAAAACTACAAATCCCAACTGGGAGTTATGTCTGTGGCTGTCGGAGCCTTGCAATGCCTCATGGGACTTGTAGTTCCAAAACAGCTGGAGTGCCAAGGTTGGCTACCACTGCCCTAGACTAAAGACTTCAAAGTTGTGGGGAAACATGTCATATTAAAGCCGACCTTTACCCCCTTTCACTAAAAATCACCCCAACATGCAGCTCTGCATCGGGATATGAGATCATCCGACATTCATTAGTTAAAGAAACTTATTTTACTTAGTTTCTTTTTTTTTTACACTTCCTGGTCCTCTTGGGCATTAATGATGCAATGTGCCCAAGTGTTGCATCCTGGGAAGGTTACATCAGCAGAGCATTGCTGGAAAGTCTCCCCTGAGGTGATGTGCATGGTCACATGTCCTAGTCACATGTGCCAGAGTTCCAGGAAGTAAAGGGAGATATATGAATCTGCCCTTAGTAAAAATGTCCGCTGTGAGAAGAATAGGAAGGTAAAGGGAACTAAGGTATGCAAAGAATACAAAGCCGGCAATTATCTAGAAGTATCTGTTTGTAGATTGTCATTACTAAACATTTCTGAATGTGTCTTTGTCATCATTTCAAGGATAAGGGCAAAGTTCCCCTTGAAAGAGGCCCTGTCATGTCTCTAAACAAGTCACAATGTCAATTGCCTGCTGTGGAAAGCTAATTGTACTCGCCTCTTTGGTGATCCGCGTCTTCTACCTCCCCTCTGTTCCAGCGCTGCAGCCTCCATCAATCTCTTCGGCATTCAACAAATCAGGATTGTCTGTGTCACAGCTGTGTTCTGGAGTCGGACTTTTAATTCTGGTGTTCTATCGAAACCGCCAACTCATTGAAATCTCCAACTACCTCACCTCCGGTGCGCAGAAAGACTGGAGCTCTGTACAGTTGCGCGCGTAGCGTTTGCAGAATACTTGTCGAGCTTGCCACCTGCTGAATATTGTTAAAATGCATCTGTACAGAAGCTCCGTCAGTCTTTGTGTTTTGCAGTCTAACGCCGTCTGGTCGAAATCTCCAACTTGGAAGTACCCGGCAGTGAGGTAGTTGGAGATTTCGACGAGTTGGAGCTTTCAATAGAACACCGGCTGTGATATAAATCTGGAAAACGCAGCCAATCGGCGGTCTTTGTAGACCAGAATTGGGAAACGCTGAATATAAAGCTGTACAGCGCTGCGCACACTGTTGGCGCTATATAAATCCTATGTAATACAATGTAACCGATGCGAAAGGCAAATCATTTCTTTATAAATATCGCCACCTAGTGGTGAGCGAAAAGAACTATGACCAGCTCGCTGATTTGTCTTCAGAGAGCTCAGAACACAGATAGCGGTGAATCTCCCAATGATCCATTCTCCGGGAGAGATTGTTTAGGTTCCCGGCGGGATAACATTCACCGTACTGCATGGAGGCGCTTGCATGAGCTTTAATAGACCGCTCTGACGGGTGACAGCGCACACTCTCCATGAGCCGTGTTGATTTTGGCAAGGATGAGCTGACGGAAAAAGAGCACAGGCATGGTAATGGCCTGTTTATGGCTAGTTCCAGGGTGGTGTTGCTGAAGAGTTGGGAAAACTTATGACAAGGTATATGAGGTTGGCCGACAGCTCCTCAGATGAAGACGTTTTAAGACTTGTGGCAGAAAACATGTTGTCACACCTTTTATTGAAATTCTTCCTTGAAAGACTGTCACAAAAAAAATACAATCCTGTAAAAGAAGAAATGTACCGCCCACGTCCTGGATAATATAAGAGAGAAGAGCGCTCCCAGATTCTGCCATTCATTCAGCTTTACACCAGCAGTGATCATGCTCCATCTCCCTGTCTGCTGTCCTTCATATTATTCACAGGAAGCCGGGCCATGGGTCATGATCCACCGCCCGACTTCCAGATAATCTGGGCAACGGTATCGGGAAACAAAAATATCGGTACTTGCACTCGATCCCAAACAAAAACGGTATCAGGGTGAGTTCACACCATAAGCAGTGCGTTCTGGTCCGATTCTGGCCGGAACGCACTGCATCACGGCCGGCTCACTTTTTTGCCGGGCTGGAGGGGGCGTGTCGGGCCATTGAAGAGAATGGCACCGTAGCCACAACCTCCGGCCGCTATGCAATTTGTGCCTGCAGTGTGCTCAAAATGCTGCAGCGATCCCGTGCGGGCGATCACATTGCGGCCGGAGCCCGGCAAAAAAAATGTGCCGGCCGCAATGCGATGCAGTGCGTTCCGGCCAGAATCGGACCGGAACGCACTGCTTATGGTGTGGACTAACCCTCAGTGCATCCCTAATTGTAATGTGCAGGTCTTATGACCTGTTAGGATGGGGGACCAAGGCTCCTGAAATTGTAGTTCCAGAACGTAGACAAGGTTAGCTCTCCAACAAAAACCACTGGAACAGACTACGTTCCTCAAAAATGGACGTTTCATTTTGACCGAGACTTTTGCAAAAATAAGTATTAAAATGGGTAAATTTTGGGAGTGACTTTGCAGTTTTAGACAGTTAACCATCTCATTGCTGTGACAAATAACAATTTTTTGGATTATTTGTATTTCCGTGCCTACGCAGTATGGGATGCGTCTCATTAATTATGCTAATGTCGCTTTACTTTTAAAATTCATGTAACTAATTGTAACCTGGCAGAATGTTAATCTCGACATCCTGTCCAATACCCATTGATTAAACTTTGCTTCTGACAATACAGAATCTCTGTTCCTGGTTATTTCTGCCAGGACACCAACAGATGTCAGAAATCTCTTAACAAGGAGTCTCATCTGCTAATCGTACCTGCCAACGGGTGTTTACATGCCGCCCCCTCCCCGTAGAAGTTCGAGTACAGAGGACTAGGGGGGTTATTTAATCCTGCTGGATAGCCACCAGATAAAAGGTTTTGCTTACTTTTTAAACAGATGGCGTTGGTGACTTCCTACTGGACATGATCGTGTTAATGACTTTGCTAAGATTTTAGAAATTCCCACTTAAAGGAGAACTATGGGGTCAGGGCTTTTCCCCCATAGTTCTCCTTAGGGTAACGGGAGGACACAAACTAGCGTCCTCCCATCACCCTAGGCTCAGTATACCGCGAGCTACAGCGCTTTTCACTCACCTCATAGTTCTAGCCGACCTGTGACAATGACACTGTCACAGGTCGGCTCAGTAGATCGGGAGGTGAGCGGACACATACCGGCGTTCGCTCACCTCTCGATTCTGTCACGGCTCTCTTCCGTGACAGGGGAGGGGCTGGATTCCCCCCTCCCCAATAGTGCTGACTGGCGGAACGGACGGGGGAGTGTACAGCTGGCTGCCTCTAGATAGGCAGAGCCAGCTGTCAGTCACGCAGCTGGGCGGATCCCGGCACAATTGTCGGGATCCGCTTCAGCGTCTCAGTATATCGCGAGCAGCAGCTCCCGGTATAATGAGCCTAGGGTGACGGGAGGACGCTAGTTTGTGTCCTCCCGTTACCCTAAGGAGAACTCTGGGGAAAAGCCTTAACCCCATAGTTCTCCTTTAAAGAAACCTTCAGTCTTCAGAAATATCTTGTCCCTTAGTCCACTAAGCAGAGAACAAGCTGCTGCCGTCTCTTACCTTCAGGGTGCAGAGATCTCCTACTGGAGCAGTGGTGAGCTCTTCTGTGCTATTTTCAGCCTCCTCCGTGGTGTGGCCTATCACGCATTGTGTTATTTAAAAAGGAGACGCACTTCAATAAGCATCTAGGCTACTAACCCAGGACAGCGGCTCTGTCCAGGTGGGGCCCCCGTCTTCTGGCCCGGCAGCCAAACTAGTAACTATTTGCGTGGTTGGTCCTGTTAGGCGAGGAAATACAAAAGAACCGAGGCGTGCAGACATTTCGGTGCTTTTTATTTGAAGGTGAGCCTTGTGTTTTCTATTTTCGGTGGGTGGAGCCCTCTCTCCTGTGCAGCCCTGAAAGACGATTAGGGATAAATGTTCATACTAAACAGGCTGAGAACCTCAGTAACAGCGGAGACATTGCTTCTTTATGGGGGTGGAAGCAGATTGGAATAACTCTTGAGGAATACAGAATTTCATCTAGAAGTCCAGAAGCTAAAGAAGAGAACGGAATAATAAATATCTGATAGAAAACCGGCGGAAATCTGAACAGATTCAGTGCAACGTCTCACCAGTTGTGGAAGGATCTTCTCCACCTGTTCTATATGCACCACCACTGAATCTTCCGACTTGGCCTGACGCGCTGCGCGAGCTGCTGCCTCTGTCATTATGGAAAACACAACAATGCTGATTATTCTCTATCAAAATCATGGGCACAAATCCCAACACTAAATCTGCCTGATGCAGGCCTACTTCAATGTCCTGTAAGTCAGTATGTTCACATGCTGGGGTGAATAGAGCTCTGGATGCACTTCCTGGCCTTAAAACCGCCTCCCAGTTTCCTGATTGGCTAGGAAGCCGGAGCTGCCTAGGAACGAGTGAAACCCGCTTCCTAGCCTAGCAATGACCTGCCGCCCGGCTTCCTGATTAGGAAGCTAGCTTTACTTGTTGCTAGGCAGCCTGGCTTCCTGACCAATCAGGAAGCCGGAGGGTACCTCATGACGCGCGTCCCGGCTTCCTGATAGGTCAAGTGAAGCCAGCTTCCTAGCCATTTAGGAAGCCTGAAGGCGGGTCATGACGTGCCGCCCGGCTTCACTTGTTGCTAGGGAGCCTGTCTTCCTGACCAATCAGCACCTCATGACTTGCCGCTCGCCTTCCTGACTGGTCAGGAAGCCAGGCAGCTTTGGCAAGTGAAGCCGGTGTTCTTTAGCTAGAACACAAGCAATCAGGAAGCTGGAGCGACGGGTCATGATCTGCTGCATGACTTCCAGATAATGGGGGGCACCAAGCACTGGTACTCGGTGTTGGCAAGTACCCCAAAATAAAAATATTGGTACTCGATAACGAAAAACCAGTATTGGTGCATCCCTAATTTTCACACTTATCGCACTGATACAAGAAAAGCCTTCAAATGGCGTATTTAAGAGTAAAAGGGCGCAAATAAGAGAAGTTCATTGTTGGGTTACATTATTAGTTACCTATAATAAGTTTTTAATGTTATAATTGAACACGCCATTTTCTGTGATGTCACAGCGTGGCTGGAATAATCGGAGGCTATGAAAATCCCTAAGCTCAGTCTTTATGATGTGGACAACTAGACGGGTCTTCATCAAGCTGTCAATCATCCCCTATTAGCCGGTCCCACCTACTTACCCACCTGAAATTGGTGACCAATGCTTCCAACGCCATAATACACAATGGTTTTCAATAACAGAATTAAGGCTTATGGGTAAAGGGCCATCTTACCAGTAACAAATACTTTCAGAAGCTCGGCCATGACTAATACGGCATCGGAACTGACTAAGAGTAGAGGGGAAAAAAAGGACACTGAGTGAGATCTGCATGTGTGACCTTGAACACAAATATACATAATGTCATCTATACAAAATTCTCATCGCTTTTTCATCCAGGGAACCTGCACATACATTCGTTGTGTGCGACGGTGAAATACCAGATTCTGGCCACCAGATGGCGCTGAGGATCACACTAACATGTATGTATCCTCAGCGCCATCTAGTGGCCACAATGCAGTCTCTCACTCTTGCGCCGAATTGACTTTAGAGGAATAAGCAATGCAATGCCGGTATTGGCAACATTTGTAACCCCACCTGCTGCTGACAGGGAAGCCATACAAATAGAAGACTGAAGCAGCCATTGATGGCTTATCTTTTTAATGCCCCCGAGGTCATCACCCTCCCGATCCTGAAGCTTCTGGACCGCTCACACCATAAAGAGTGCGTTTGGCCTCTGGAACGCAACCCAGCCGGCTCACTTTGTTTTGGGGCGGGATGGTGCATTGAAGTCAATGGCACCGCAGCCACGCCCCCTGCCCGCGGTGCAATTGCCGGCACCCGAACGCATGGCACATTAGTGCCTGCGTTCTGGTCCAGTGCGATCTGCAAAACATGCTGCAGGCACAACTTTTTGCAGATCACACTGGACCGGAAGGCAGGCACTAATGTCCCATGCGTTCGGGTGCCGATGTGCGTGGCTGCGGCGCCATTGACTTCAATGCACCGCCACGCTCCCTCCCCAAAACAAAGTGAGCCGGCTGGGTTGCGTTCCAGAGGCCGAACACTCTAAAACACACTATATATGGTGTGACTGGGCTCTGAAAGCATAAATATAACATCACTGTAATAATCACCTCTGCAATACTGCTTTCCCACCACAAGAGGTCCTCAGTCTCCTGAGCTGAATGACAGCCAGCATAATTCAACCCAATTCATCTGAGCCCAGGCTGTCATGGAACTTCCCCCCCTCCCCCCCCCTGCAGCAAGTCAGGGCAGAACACCTAATCTGCATGCTTGTTCAGGGGTCAGCGGAACCTGAAGTTCAGAGTGATAGCCAGACAAGTAGCATTTTCAGATTGGGGTCAGCAGTGGAAGCTGATGTCATGACAGGTCTTCTTTAGCACTATATGGCTGTGTTGGTGTTGTCAACAATTAGAGAGCCAGGTGATGACATCCAGCTCTGTGCGGCTTCATTTCCTGCCTGTGAGCTGCAGCACCGCCTGCCCTGCCGCCAGCAAGTCAATCCCCAGCACATGACTGCAAATAGAAAAGCAGCCAGTGGAGGACTCGACCCATCACCAGCGGTTCCAGGCAGAGTCACCCTCCATGTCCGCCATTTACCTTTCGTCTTGCCCTCCTCCAGATACAAGTGCAGCAGTTTGGAGACGACATCCTGTAATGAAGATGAATAAAGCTGGTCAGGAAGAAGACAATTTTAGTCTAGTGTCACCAACATGTACAGTGAAGTAGGCAATCTGCAATAATTTATGTATCTATATGTGATAGTATGCTTATGCAGGGAGGTGAGGGACGGAGGTGCTGGGCCAGCACAGGCAGTCATTAGACACACCCAGAACAGTGCTCATCTCTCTCCTATCAACATGCTTCTAGTCAACACATGACCCGATTGGTTCTTTGTACTGCTTCTTCCTCTCACACCCCAGCTCTGCATTGTTTATGTATTTTATATTTGCCTAGATGCCCCTATTTTTATGGAGGGGAGGCCCCGATTTATTATAATAAGACCGCATGAGTTTCAATTTCCATCCTGGTGCACACGAGCCCCGACCTCTCCGGTCACCCATAGGAACCAAAATTTGGGATCGTCCTTATAAACCACACCGGCAGATATGGTGCCAGGCACTGCATGGCTTGCTCATTGCAGCCTGCTGTCCATAGTTCTATAAAGAGCAATGGGGAGTAACCCATAGCAACAAGAGCTCAGCTAAAATCAGTGATTTCCGATTGTCTGCTACGGTTTACATCACTCTGCGGCCTGGTCTCATACCCAAACAGGCCCACGGTTACACTCCCCACCGCCCGTCTCCATGGAAACCGCCGCCACTCGCCTTGCGGAACCCCGCCGCCACCGCCTCCTCGTCACCCTCCATCCCCTTCTGTCTGCGGCGCGCAAACTCCACGCTCCGCCCTTCCCGCCTTCTCTTTGATGCTGATTGGTTGACGTGGCCGCGCAACACGCAAGGCGCGAGCACAAGCACCCAAAGTTTCGACCACTAGAGCGCGAGACTCCGTGCAGTTTTTGTCCCCACTCCTTGTACTACCCTCTATAGGAGCGGCCATATTTCGTAAGGACACTGGCTATTCGTTTTAATAACATTGGCTTCATAAAAATGGCGTTTATATAGAGACGTAGAAAGACACTAAACTTTTTTGCCACCAGCGGTTTTGCAGTGAGAGACAGATCTCCTAGGACCTAGCCGCTACCATCTCCCACTCCCAGTGGCTGCCTGGTTACGAGTTGTGTCTACGTGAAGAGCAGACCAGTAGAGGTGAGTGACCCCACAGAGTGCCCTGAAGATAATTGTATTGCAGATGATAATGTATCTAAAATGATAATGGTGACCGTAGAATCGTGTTGCATAGTTGCCAATGTTTATTTGATTTTGCAGGGAATTGTGTTGTGGATTCGACCTGGCCTTGTCATATTGTATATTAGGGCAGTGGTGATCAACTTGAAAATGATAGAGGACCATCCTACCCAGCACTGGTGTCAGTGGACGCAATAATAACCACCAGCATTGGTGTCAGTGGATGCAATAAAACCCCTTGCATTGGTGACAGTCGACATAAGAATAACCCCCAGCATTGGTGTCGGTGGGTGCAATATTAACCCCCAGCATTGGTGTCAATAGATGCAGTAATAACCCCCAGCGGACGCAATAATAACCCCCAGCCGACGCAATAATAACCCCCAGCATTGGTGTCAATGGATGCAATAATAGCCCCCAGCATTGGTGTCAGTGGATGCAATAATAACCCCCAGCATTGGTGTCAGTGGATGCAATAATAACCCCCAGCATTGGTGTCAGTGGACGCAATAATAACCCCCAGCATTGGTGTCAGTGGACGTAATAATAAACCCCAGCATTGGTGTCAGTGGAGGCAATAATAACCCCCAGCATCGGTGTCAGTGGAGGCAATAATAACCCCCAGCATTGGTGTCAGTGGACGCAATAATAACCCCCAGCATTGGTGTCAGTGGACGTAATAATAACCCCCAGCATTGGTGTCATTGGACGCAATATTAAACCCCCGCGTTGGTGTCAGTGGACATTAAAATAACAACTACCAGCAATATCATCAGTAGCAGTACTACTGACCCTTCCTCACATTATTATTCAGAGCTGATAATCCCCCATCACTCCCCATTGCACTAGTGGTTAGTGACAGTGCTATTTATCCCCTCCCATTGGTGCTCAGTGGTTACTGACATGATCACATGCGTCTGCGCTGCTCTCATTCCCCCATCCAGCGGGGGGTATACTTGTACTGTTAGGTGCAGATGAACAGCTGGCTTACCAAGTCCAGGACACGGTGTGCTGCACACAGAGAGCCGGCAGGCCACATGTTGGGTATAATGGTCTCAGGGGACCATGGCAGAGGCTGAGCTCATCTCAAAACCAAATATCATGCAGTCTGTCCATAGCATCATTTATATATGGTGCCGTCCATTCACACAACGCTTTACAAAATCTACATTCACATCAGTCCCTGCCCCAAGGAGCTTACAATCTCAGATCCCCATCTCGCATGCATGCCAATTAACCCACCGTCATGTCTTTTGGAGTGTGGGAGGAAACCCATGCAGACACAGAGCATGCAAACTCCATGCAGATAGTGCCCTGACTTTACAAGGCTCATAAGGCCTGGCAGCATGTAAAGAAGAGCCCTTGCTCTCTCTGGAAGCAGTGGTCTCTCTGCAGAGGTCTGACATGCTACCTGCTAAATCAAATCTAGAGCTCTCCAATGAGCAGGGGGCATGAGTTTTGCTGATTGGAGAGCTCTGCTTTTGACTGTAGGGACAGAGAGGTAATACAAACGCACAGTTGCATGCATTTACATGCGTTGTCTTATAATCTGGTCTGGTTGGCTTTGGTATCTGCTTTTGGACATTAACAAGCCATTGTTTCTCTGTGTTTTTTGTGTTGTTGTTGCAGGCTCTGCCATTGCCAGTCACTGCCCTTGACTGACTGACTGCCTTGCAGTAAAGCACCACCTAACACTCCAGCAATGGATGAACTGAGAAGCATGTATATCCGGCTATGCCAAGAGAAGGGCTCGGAACCCCAGGAAGCACTGTTACGAGAGCTGCAAGAACACACGGAAGCCTCGGCACAAGTGCGGCTGGATTTATCCGCCCAGACCCTGTCGATGGAGTCCTGCCAGGTCCTGGGTCTTCTTCTGGAGAATGATGTGACCTTCACCCATGTCCTACTCAGTGACTGCATGCTCAACGGGGAAGGTTGGTGCCACAGAACCAAAATCTAAAGCAGACTTTGCATTGTGCTGTCTGCTGTTGTCTATTTGAGTGTGTCTGAAGCCAAATTTGGATAAAGCACAGAATCGTTAAAACCCCCCCGCCAGGTTTCTTTGTGCTCCTCCATCACTTGGAGGCACAACAGGAAGTCCTCTGCTGTCCTGTAAGCAAAACAGGAAGGGAGTGGAAATCCCCTCTTAGACAGCTGTCACTGGAAATGGCTGTCCCCAGTGGAACAATTAGTGATGGGCTCGGGCGTGTTCGCAGCGTCACGTGCCGAGCCCGCCAGGAAGCTGACAGCGTGCAGCGCCAATCGCAGGTACTGAGACATGTTCCCGGTCTGCAGCTGCAGAGATTGCATGTGGAGCTGCGAACACGCCCAAGCCCATCACTAGGAACAGTTACCCTTTTGGTGACAACTGTGAATTTCGGTTAAAAAGAGAACTATGGGGTGATTGTTTTTCCCCACAGTTCTCTTAAGGGTCACGGGAGGACATATACTAGCATCCTCCCGTGACCCAAAGCTCAGTATATAGCGAGCTACAACTCGCAGTATACTGAGACCGCCGCAGTCGGGACGGATCCTGACATTACTGTCGAGATCCACCCAGCTGCGTGAGTGACAGTGGGCTCTGCCTATCTAGAGGCAGAGCCAGCTGTGCCCTCCCCCGTCCGATCCGCCACTCAGCGCTGGAGGATCGGGGGAGGGAGGGAATCCCTGCAGGGAGCCGTGACTGACAGTCCCCACCCTCTGCAGGGACATGATCGAGAAGTGAGCGACCGATGGTATGTGTTCTCTCATTTCCCGATCTATTGAGCCGACCTGCGACAGTTTCATTGTCACACGTCGGCTCGAACTATGAGGATGAGTGATTTTCACTCGCCTTTCGAGTTCTCCTTTAACCATCACTTTCTCTCCCAGTCACATGATCACTGGGACAAAAAGAGAAAGTGACCTCCCTAACCTCCCTAATGGGGACATAGGCAGCAGTAAAATCCTCACCACACTATTTAAATTTAAGTTTAATGGTTTTATTTACCCGTTTGTGGACAGTGGTCACCGAGGTCTAGATGCACAGGGCAAATTTAGCAGCGCCAGTACATGTCGGTAAACTCGACGATAACTTGCTGCCTAATTTGCACACTTAAATCATTTGTATACTTTCTAAGACTTTTCTTTGGTCCACCGGTTTAATAAAGACCCTTGCTGTTGCTGAGAAATATGCAAAAGCATAATAAGCAAAAAAAATTTTTCTTTTTTTATTTCATGTATTATTATTTTTAGTATTGTAATTGTATCTGACAATGACAGTATTAAACATAGGCGCACTTTCACCTTTAAGCTGCGGTGACATCTGCTGTTTCTTCTGCTTATTTGTCATAGGGATCACATGATCGGTACCACTCTGATTCGTTCCCAATTCTCATTGCAGACTGGAGCTGTCGATGACAGCCCGGATTGAGAGCCACCAGCCACGCAAAGCTTTTGGCTAGTAGCTTTCAAAGGGAGGATATTTATGAACATATCCTCAACATGGGGCAATTATATGCAGATTGTGGGCTGGAACAGGTGATGCATTTTAAGTACTGACCCTGAGCCTAGGTATCCCTGAACCTAGCTATCCCTCCTGTTTTCACTGTACCAGTTTGTTGCAACGCCGATACGTATGTGTCCTGTGGGTTTGGCGCCACCATAGAAATGCGTTGGAACCGCAGAGTATCATGGCATGTCTGTGACCAGCTTTAGTCTACACCAATAAATCAGTCATTGGAATTCTGTTCTGTCTTGACAGGTGCCAAGCTTATTTTACAAGGCCTCCGCTCCAACTCCGTGGTTAAGTCCTTGGATCTGAAGGTGAGTGCGAGTTCATATATCGGATACATTTATTACGAAAAAGAAAAGTGGACTTCCCACCAAACCTTTTTTTTTAAAGTTGTGTGTATAGTGGTTACACCCTCTGTCAGGTTCTTATTGCTGTCTGTTCCCCATTTAGGAGATTTTCCACCCTGCTTCCCTGCTTTTCCAAAAGATTTGCCACCCTGCTTCCCGATTTGCAGGGAAGCCGTCTCCATGCTTCTCGTCACTAGGTGACGTGAAGCATGGAGCCGGCTTTCTGGCCAATCAGAAAGCTGGGCACCGTTTAATGACACGGCGCCCAGTTTCCTGATTGGCCGGGAAGCCGGCTCCATGCTCCCTCGTCATGAGGTGACGAGGGAGTATGAAGCCGGCTAATCACAAAGCCCGGCTTCCTGATTAACCAGCTTCCCGACCAATCAGGAAAGCGGGCAGCGTCACAAGTGACGAGGGAGCACGGAGCCGGCTTCCCAGCCACTCAGGAAGCCGGACAGCGTGTAATGAATCGCTGCCCGCCTTCCTTATACCGTAAGTATCAGCCTAGGATCGGAGCATTTGGGCAAGTACGAGTACTCGCCCAAATACTCAGCATCGGCACCGATACTAGTATGGGTATCGATGCATCCCTAGTCGTGAGATTAATATGTCTTGCTACTGCACTTGTATGGTGTCAGACTGTACAGAGATCAAATGTCCATAGGTCTTGTAGCACTCCTTACCGGAAATCCCAAAGTGTTGATGGGTGCTCAAAATGACCGCGGATGGCGCCGCACACCGAACAACTTAAAAAAATAGATGTCACACCAGCATGACAAAGCATCAAGTCAGTGCAAATCCATTTATTGATAGATGTCACTCAGACATTCAAGCGCTTTCGGGCCACACAGGGTCCCCTTCATCAAGGTTCAGAGTAGACATTGTATGATAGAGAACCACAACCTATATACACACATGTACTGTTACAAGATGACAATTCTATTTTAAGTTAGACTGTACAGAGAAACATTAAAGGAGAACTATGGGGTCAGGGCTTTTCCCCCATAGTTTTCCTTAGGGTAATGGGAGGACACAAACTAGCGTCCTCCTGTCACCCTAAGCTCAGTATACCGCGAGTTACAGCTCGCGGTATACTGAGACGCCGGAGCGGATCCCGACATCGATGTCGAGATCCGCCCAGCTGCGTGAGTGACAGCTGGCTCGGCCTATCTAGAGGCAGAGCCAGCTGTACCTGCCCCCTCCCCGTCCGTTCCGCCAGTCAGCTCTGGTGGATCGGAGCGGGGAGGGGGGAATCCAGCCCCTCCCCTGTCATGGCAGAGAGCTGTGACAGGATCGAGAAGTGAGCGAACACCGGCATGTGTTCGCTCACCTCCCAATCTACTGTGACAGTCTCATTGTCACAGGTTGGCTAGAACTATGAGGTGAGTGAAAAGCACTCACCTCATAGTTCTCCTTTTAAGGGGAATCCAAACCCAGAAAGAAAAATGTCACATATTGTAGCTGACCAGCCCTTAAATGTGGTGACTGCATTCGTTTTCTTTTTTTTTTTTTTATACATTTTATTTCTTTACTTTCAGCTAGTGATCCTTCCAGTAATACTTCTTTATCTAGGGGTAGCCAAATTGCTGCCCTCCAGCAAATCATATCATGCCTCTGCCTCTGGGAGTCATCCCTATGGCTGTTAGTCTTGCAATGCCTGGTGGGACTTGTAGTTGCACAACAGCTAGAGGGCCAAAGTTTGCCTACCCCTAATCTAGGGAGACAACGTTCACTCACTGTTTGTACAATCTCCTTTAGATCTACCATCAGATTGTATGGCCAGCTTAACCCTTCTGTAAAGATCTATAAGTCCCCCAAGAAGGAGCATAGGATGTAAATCACTGAGGATGTGATGAGGATTTTCCTGTGTAATTGTCTTTGCCTAAAATGTAACCTTGTTTATGTCATATTAGTGTTTTTGAGCTGGTTGAGAGTATCGGGGATGACATAATGTATGTTTTTTGCAGGGTAACAATCTACGAGGAGATAGTATAGAGGCCCTTGGGAAGCTCTTGAGGCAAAATTCTTCTCTTACCAGGTATGTCAAATATGATGCCATAGAACAGGGTTTCTGCAGCTTTTATCAGTTAAATATACATAATCTCAAGGCACCCCAGTCTAAAATGTAAAAAATTACGCGGGGTCCCCTCAAAATATATACCAGACCCTTATCCTAGATAGAGGTCTGGTATGGGTTTTAAAGGGGGACAGCACGCAAAACAAACAAAAAAGTGGAGGCCCACTTTTCATTAGAAGCTCCCATCCAATCAGAGTCCCTCCCTTTGCACCAGGGTCCCTCCCTTTGCACCACGGTCCCTCCCTTCACTTCAGAGCCTACCTGACTAATAAGAAGTCTTTCCTACCTCCGGGACCTGGTCTGCAGTATTTCTCAGTGGTCAGCGCGGTCATGTGACCATGAACACCAATGAGTGCTCACCAGACAGCCATAGCAGGAGTCTGGCCAGACGCAAGAAAATGTAATTGTCCTGAGCTCCTGGGGGAGGGGTGGGGGGGGGGGGGGGGGGGGGGGGGGGGGGGGCGCACTGACAGTCTTTTGATAAACAAGTTACACAGTATAACTTAATTAAACATAACCCATCACCAGTACACACATAACCCATAAACTAATGAGCATGTCGTCACATGGCCGCCCTTATTTGGAAAATCTATATTATTTGAGGTGAGGTGAAAAGTTGATGGATTTTGTTTGGCTCTCCTTAGCCTGATTCTGGAGTGGAACAACCTGGGAATGTGGGAAGAAGGATTCTCTATGTTCTGCGATGGACTCGGCTGCAACCAGACTCTGCAGAAGCTGGATCTCCGCAACAATCAGATCAATCACAAAGGAGGAGAAGAACTGTCTATGGCCTTGAAACGCAACGGCACCCTCCAAGAATTAGGTATTAGTCTGGAGGAGGTCACTCTGGACCCCATGGATAAAGGTGTCTGAAGCTCAGTCTTTACTGTCTGTAGCAACCAAATTCCTTCTTGTTTCCAGAACAGTATGGTGGAATAAAAGGAAGAATCCGGTAGCTGGGGGCAGCAGGAACTTTCCTTGCCACAGATACTTTTATGCATGAGCCAATCATGTGTCCCAGAACATCTGTAGTTCAGATATCTCACAGCCATCTTCTGTTTTTTTTTTCCAGCTGATTGGTGGAACATACTGACTGATTGCAGTTCAACAGCATGTTGTTTCCAGCAGCTCAGTCTAATTTAAAGGAGCAGTAAAGTCTGAGCATATCCTCTCCTGTTATAACATCGGCATTGTAATAGGAATACATACTGGAGTTGTTTTTGATAATGCAATCAAAGCTTACATGAAAAAATCCCTTTTATGTAGGGAGCGCCGCCTTCCGTCTGCCCGTCACTTCCAACAACTTCCTGGATTTCCAGTGAGCTTTGCTTCTCTTTCCCTGCTGCTTGATGTGATGTAATCTCCATTTCTCAAGCCTACATAACCCATCATGCGTTGCTTCCAGCAAGCAGTGATGATGTTACATTGTTCAGACGTTGAGAGAGTGACACCAGGAAGTTCATACTCGCAGGGCACAGTGAAATGGTGTCAGTGCACTAAGGAAGTCCATCCTATGGGAATCTTCAATCAGTAAGTTTGCAAACTTCCAGATCAATATGGTTATTAGGAGTGGGAGAGAACTTATGGAAAGACAGATTTATTTTCAGTTCTTGACCATAGATGCCGTTTTATTTTCACAATAGTAATCATGGAGCATGGTTGGTGAGAGATGGAGTGGCGCTCATAAGAATGGCCGTCAATACTTAGGTGTGCCTAGAGCAACATAGTCCTGGTGGAGATGTTAGTACAGGATGTTGAATTAATGATGACGCTGTTTTTCTTTCAGACCTGCGATGGAATAATATTGGACTCCTCGGAGGCAGAAATATTCTTAACTGTTTGCAGAACAATCGGAGCATCGTGAAGATGGAGTTGTCTGGCAACAATATCCCCAGTGACATTTTAAGGGCAATCGGTAGGTGGAGCTCTTTAATTCTTTCCTATCTATGGAAAGCAGAAGGGATGAATATTATAGTCCAATACCGGGGTAGGCAACCTCAGCCCTCCAGCTGTGGTGACGCTACAAATCCCGTCATGCCGCTGGGAGTCGTGCCTGTGACTGTCAGTCTTGCAGTTCCTCATGGGACTTGTAGGTCCACAAAAGCTGGAGTGCTGAGGTTGCCTACCACTGGTCCAGTGTATGTTCCCAGCTTCTAATGGCTACTGCTTACCTCCCTCAGGTTACAGTACAACAGCAAAAAGTTTCCCAGCGTACTCTCCAGCCAGCATGCAAAAAAACCTGTCTCACCGCTAAGGTTAATAACAGAGGTCTTAGATACACGTCTTCTGCAGAATATGTGAAAGCCGCACGGCCTCATCAAGGCTCCTCTGTGTAGTGCGGTCCTAACTCTAACCTATGAGAGCCTCCATCTTAGAGCACATGTAGTAAAAGATAAAATTGGGTGCAAGTTTGGTTGACTGATTTGGTGCAGTGACACATTGGGGATCTCAGCTGCCGTTGTGATGTGCGGAGTCCCTTGTGTGTCCCTGTGCCTTTAAGGAGGTTGGGCTGCCTCCTGGCGAACCTGCACCCAATTTTTTATTTTGCTATATGCGCTCCAAGATGGAGGCTCTCACAGGTTAGAGTTAGGACCGCACTACACAGAGGAGCCTTGACGAGGCCGTGCGGCTTTCACATATTCCGCAGTGTGGGGGTAGCCCTACTGCAAGGGTTAAGTTTTATTCTGCCCGGAGTTTTTCTTTAAAATCTCCTAAAAGCTTTACCATGTAACTTGTAATTGTCAGTATTTCAAAACCTGTAGTATAATACACAGCGCTTTAACAAACTACATGTCAATGAGTAAGAGCTTACATTTACTTAAACTTTGATTGGCCACAATCGGATTCTGCACTTTGCTCCAACAAATAGGTCACCCTTTGTATTCTTGTGTCTCAGAGCAAAGCGTCGATCACAACCAGGACAGGCAGATGGTGAGGAAGGATCACGTGGACCAGAGACAGGTCCTGACCAAGGAAGTCCAGAATCTGAAACAGGAGAAGAACAAGCAGGTAAGTGATGGACTCTCTATAGTCCGGTGCCCATGGACTGTTCTCTGTAATATGGGTCCATTGACTTAATTTGCAGTTTCTGGAGTTGATGGGAACCCTTGACAAGCAGAAGGAGGAGATGAATCGAACCAGCAGGTGGGTTTTGGAGAAGAAGGTCAGCGAACTTGAATATTCTTTTCTTTACTCCTTTTCTTATCCTTTTTTCTTTAACCAGGACAACAACCTTGCATCTTGGTAAACTCCAGGAAGCGCTAGAGGATAGGAAATCCGTTGTAAATTCACTGACGGCCAAGTAAGGACCACTTTGTTATACAGGAGACCCTTACTGGAAAAATGACCTTGTAATGTGGCTCTGGTGTTACTGTTCCTTAAAGGATAATTAAAGCCTTGTATGTTTTTGCCTATATCTACTGCTAGCAAGCAGTAGATATAGCCAAAAACATCAACAAAAAAGTTCAAAAAGGGTTCAAACTTACCTGTGTCTGCGCCGCTCGCTCTCGTCCGAAGATCTGAAGATTCTCAGGCGGCCGCAAAGGATCATGGGGCGGGCGCATCCGCACTTTATTACAGGTGATCTATATTAAGTGTGCTTATTGACTATGGCAGGAGTAGGCAACCTTGGCATTCCAGCTGCTGTGGAACTACAAGTCCCATGAGGCATTGCAAGACACTGACAGCCACAGGCATGTCTTGCAGAGGCATGGTGGGATTCGTGGTTTCACTACAGCTGGAGTGGCAAAGTTGCTTACGCCTGGACTATGGTAACAAAATTAGGCCTTCGGCTGACAGTTATGTGCAAGAACATCATCTATAGGCCATGAGAGGTACTGTATTGCAAAACTGAAAAGCCTATCTAACCCCTCAAAAAATATATGTCAGCTTACCAGTCCTCAGATGTGGTGGCTGCATTCGTTTTCTTTTTTAGCTTTTTTTCTTTTCCCTAAAGTTTCACCTGGTGATCCTGTGAATAACACAGCTTCTCCGCCTTCATGTCTATGCTTTGTTCCCCACTGTAGAGGAAGCCAGGGTTGTCACACAGGCTGGTCTTCAAACATGTCTGCCTTTGTTCAGCTCCATTACATGGTGGATTGCTGGGACCAGTAGTTTACAGAATAAAGATAAGGTTCTTTGTGCTTTCATTTAAACTCACAGGAAGTGAAAAGGACACGGCAATTCTGGCAAGATCAACCACATGCACATTGTGTGGAACATCAGCGTCCATTGGGTAAAGGCAGACCATTTATTTTAAATGCGCTATGCAGCCCAAATCATACATGACTCTCTTTTTAAGCGCAGCACACCACAATATGTTGGCAGCTACTGTACTAAGGCATTGAGGTGCCATTTAGAATAAAAGGATCCCGGTGCACCATACTGTGGTATACAGTGTGCCATGTGTTGTGCAATTCACAAGTTACATTGGGCCCTAATTAATTTGGGTCTATGCAGTACAACATTATTGGGAACAAAGAAGACTATACAGGGCTCATTCATACTAAGCATATGGGTGGTGCTTGCCAGATTTTAAAAATGCATACCAAATGCTTCCTTCTGACATCTGTGAGAACACAGCCCACATATTCTTTATTCTTCCAGGTTGCACATGGCCGACACTGGTCTGGCACTTTCACAACAGAAAGCACAAGACCTGGAGCTGATCCTCACCCAGACAAAGCGTGACAACTCCTCTTTACGGGAACAACTCGCTAAAGACCTGCGAAAGGAGAAGGAGGTATAAGGAGATTTTTGTACTGACCGTATCGTTGGGCAGAGGACTGTTGTACTGACTTTCTGTTTATGGGGAGAGATCTATTATGCAGACATTAGCAGTGACCATAAT